CATGTAAGATGGCAGGATCATCGTGCTTACTAAAATGTGGCTATAGAACTAATCACCAAGTAATTAGGTTTACAAATTTTTGAAAAATACTACACATTTTTTTAGGAAAAAGTTGACAAACACTTGACAGCTAAAATGAATAGTAATATAGGTGGAATTTTAGCATTTAGATTTCATCATCAAAATACATAACACTATCTAAATTTTAATTTTTTTTTTTTAGAAATCGAAACATGGTAAAATATTGGGAATGTGTACTAAAAAATAGGGCATACAAGGAAAAAGTATAAAACAAATATTTTGTAAAATATGAAATGATCAAAATATCCCTGAAAAATGATAGGGGTAATTTGGTCAAATTTGGTCATATTAATTTCTTAATAGTATTTTTTTTATATTTTTATATGGTGGGCAATAGTATATACACCCAAAAATTTCATCCCTATCTAATTTATATATATAAAAAAGAGTAAAAATTTAAATAGTAAAGATCTTACTGTTGGGATTCCATATATCTTACTATTCACTATAGTTGCCAAGTGGCAGTGTTTGGTACCTAGACTCTATTTTTTGTATTTAAAAGAAACCCCTCCTATTTTAGAGTTTATGTTGAAGTCTCACGTTTTCGGTGTTTTCCATAGTATCGTTGTTAAAACTTCAAGTTTCAAACTAAATTATATTTTTATTTTCTTTCGTCCAACCTTTCAAGTTTTAGTCCCATTTTTTTTTAGTGAAACCAGGGTTAGCGACTTGGACTTTTGGACCCAAGGTTCACTAAAAACATATCATGTGTGTTGGGTTTGGAGTATGAAGTACCCAACTTGGCACTCACATGGATTATTTTTAGTGAAACGATCGGTTCGGAACTTGAGGTTCTAACCTACCATTTCGAAAAAAAAAAAAATGTGTACTTTTGACACCAAAAAAAAGAAGAAGTGTACTTTCAATTTCATCAATAAATAGAAGAGTTATGGATCCAAAGGTTAAACTTCCAAACCAAATTTATGTATTTGGTCCCTGCATCTCAAACCGTCCAACTTAATTGGATAGTGGAGATTGTAGATATGTGCAATCTGCACCGTCTAGCTAAGTTGGATGATGTATATTACATGGATGGTGCAGATTGTATATGGCTTGCCTGTATAGAACTTTGCAATACTTATTCATGGTCCATCACTATCCAAAATCCATTAAGCAAATACACACACGCACAAACATGAAATCAATTATTAAAATGTAAACACTATCAGATAATCGCAACCTTTTGATTGGACTTTGGATAGTAATGAGACATGAGTAAAATAATGTAGAACTACACATGAGTGTTTATATATGTGTGTGTGGTTTACATAAGGTTACAATCTTAAATAATCAAATTAAGGTGCTCCTCCAAACTTTGTCATAACATGTAATTTTGGTGTTGAAATTTCTTAGTATGGTATGAGAATCTATTTTTATCTATAGTTATAAAAATTTAAACTTCAAATATGATTCAATCAAGCAGAGTCATAAAGCATCAAAACCTTGAAAATTGATGTTCCAAATAATGTGTCGCAAGATATATTATTTTTATGAATTGAATCTCTTTTTTTCTCTATATCTATACATCTCGATGACAAGATGATCAATTCGATGTTTTTTCAACATCAAAACCTTTTTCAAACGGTTTTAGCAATGTACCTTACTTCT